CAACGTACACGAAAGTCAAGGTTCCTTTATTATAATATAATTTTAATTCATATTATTTCAATAGTGTACACTATTGTAATGTTCTTATTTTCATATTTTCAGTTATAGAAAACTACACAATGATGCACTTGATTTAGCATGCGATAAGCATATGATTATATAAATAACTGGTTTAAATTAAATACGGTTTATTTTAATATAAACCTCTATTTCGTAATATTTTTAATTATTTATGTTGTAAAATTTAAATTTAAAATACATTGTTATAGACTTTTAGACATTTGGTTTATTAATATTAGTCATTAATTTCTTAGGATGTTATTAGATGTTTAGATTTGAAAAAGAAACAAGTTTACAACTGGTTTGTTGACTTATGTCCATTGTACGGCCCCGGCAAAACGTACAAATGAAAATAAATTATATAATACGTCATATAGAATGTAATAAAAATACCTAACCAAAAATAATTGATATCAGTTTAAAAGATGTATGATTAAAATGAAGAAAATTATATGGATAGTATATACTTTAAGAAATACACTTATCATGAAATTTACAAAAAAATATTTTGAAAAAATGATTACATTTCAAATTAATTTACTCGAAAAATATTCATATTTAAAAAAAAAATTGTAAAATATAAACGAATTGATTTAAATAAATGTTTTTACCATCAACATTTGTCTGAAAATTATATTTACTAGTTGTCAGATCTTGCCGTATAAATAATAAATATCTATTATGGTAATATAATATAATTTGTCAATTACAATAACACGAATTATTCGATCGACTAATTTTAATTTAGAACAAGTGAATTATATTTATTTAATTAATAACTTTTACACTGATTCGTACCCATTTATAAACACGCATCTAATAAATTACTAATGTAGGCAGACCAAAATATAAGACTGATTTTTACATTTATAATATATTTTGCTAAAAATATTCATTCATGTCATTTGCCATCTTAATTTTTATAAAAACACGTCTTGTTAAACAACGAACATTACGAACAAGTTCAAGTTTAAAAATACAAGGTGCTCTGGTTAGGTGGCCACTGTCTCTAATTTATAAAGAAATGATAAACTACTGCATTAAGAAATGATTCAAACAAAAAGTGATGAAAAATAATCAGCATTTCAAGCATATATTCAGTTTTAAAAACATTGTAAAATCCGAAAATTATTTAATTATTTCTATTAACCACTATTCGTTTCCAGTGAACATAATGCATGACAACTTTAAGTGCTCCAAAAAATGATGAATGAAAAAAAAAATCTAAAATCTGTATAATATTATTATTTGATATTTTTAATGTTCCAAATACAGCTTATAAATTGTAATAGTAATTTTGACAAGTATTTATTGCATTCACATTTTGTTTTTGTCACTAGGAACTACTGATGATTTATTAAAAATATTAAAATATGTTCATATTATGTGTTATACTTGCAGTAGATACCTATATTATTTTACTGCAATAAAGCTAGTTTTGATTTGTATTTCGTAGGTTTGGTATGATTGTATATTTATTGCGATTCTTGTTTATTTTGTTTATTTCAAATTTAAAACACGTGTTATTAGTATTTTATTTGTTCTATTATTTCTGCTTTATTTAATGCATCCTTATTTGGTTTATAATCGCAACAAATTACCAAGTACATTATGTTGATATCATTATCATTGATATCTATTTAAAAAATGTTAGAATTTTTAATTATTAAATATGCTTATAACAGTTACAACTAATAATGATTATTGAGTAATTGTTATGTTTTCAATTGATAAATATTCAATTTAGCTAATTTTGATAATTATTGTATAAAAACAAAAAAAAAATCGATTTAAAGATTGATTTTTTCGTTAATACAATAATACGTTAAGTATAATTTTATCTCGAGTGTTCAACTACTCTGATAGTTACTTAATTTGTTCCTTTTCGTGTAGAGCATTTTTTTATTATTAGAATAATATGATTTCGGGAATTATGGTGACATTTTATATAGGATTTGTGTACCATTGATATTAGTGATATTACACTACAATATGGTATTCTATATTATGGAACATTAATCAAACGTGTATTAATTATCTGTTATAAATGAATTCTGTATTAATTATCAGATGTCGTTAACTAACCTACAATAAGGTACCCGGTGTCTCCCTCGACCATGTTGCGTTCGTATTTATTATTATTATTAGTTATTTTGAATTAACAATGATTTATTAAATGATAACTATGGTGGTATTGTACTAGATACTAAGTATTTGCCAGTTATTACCCAAACTAAGACCAACACTAGACTATACCCCTGACTACAATACAACTAAACTTCTAAATTATTGTTGAAAAAAGTTTTTAATTTATTTAAATGTTCTAGTTCTTTATAAATTAAGTAAGGCCAGTAGGAGACCCTGTAAAATATCAATATTATTTCTATACACCATCTAATTAAAACTGTTTAATAAAAATTAAAAATAAACTAGTTAAATTTTACTTAGATATCCTTACTTTTGAACATCGAATTTATAACGTCAGTATCCGGTATTCATTATTAAAACTAAAAAATAGTATTTATTTGTTACTATATGACGTATCTGGAGAGAGTAATAATAATAATAATAATAACAATTATTATAACTTAAAATAATATTTTTTTTAATCGTACAATATAATATAATATAAATAAATAATGTAAACTTACTAATGAAATAACCGTCATGTATTGATTCTGATTTAACAATACAAAACGTTAACACAGATTTTATTAATCTTCCTGACTTCCAACAAATTAAAAGAAACTACCAAGTTATTTACGAATTCGACGCACAGACATATTCACGGGACCACCTTATTGACTAATACTAGTGTCAGTTGAACCTATGTTTAATTCAAGTTCATGATTGTTGTACGTATTACCACTACTCTTTAAAAAGTACGTTGCACGTAACAAATAACAAATTGAACGATTATAGTGGGTAATAATAAATATCGGGCCGAGCGAATCGTAATTTCGTTTTACTTCGGATAAATTGGTATATATAAAAATAATGAAAAAATCAATCTTTAAACAAAGTTCAACGAATTCCAATTTAAAATGAATTATTATATGTGAAGCAAAATAATATTTCACTTAATTTAAATGAATACTTAAAAGGAATTGGTCCCGTGATTAGTGATAATAAACGTTAATTACATTGTTGCTTTCAACAAATAAAATATGCAGTCCCGAAAACGGATAAACATGATTAATAATAATATTTTAATACACACATGGATAGGGAAATGAAGCCTTTCTAATTTATAAATCGGCATACTCTATTTACAATTTTTAACTCTTTCGGAATTTCAACGAGCAGCCTTTTGTACAATCAAATCGACAATAGTTTATATAATATCTACCAATTATTAATTATTAGTATGGTTTATTGTTTGCGTGTCGTAGCTCGTACGACAGTACCTAATGTATTGAATATGTGTAATAATATTGTCTTCTATAATATTATGTTCATTGGTAATATTATTATTCATTGAGTAAAACAACATTATCATTTACGGATTTCCCGGTTTCGGCACTGAAATCATTTATATTGTTAAAAATAGAATATGGTGTGAAATGCGTATTTACTATATTAGTCATAGTACCTATATGTCAAAGTATGGTATATACTGCATAATTAGTTATACTATTAGTTATACTTATTATTTATGTGTACAGTGTACACGAATGTGAAATTGTTTAGGCGTGTAACATACCAATATATTTTGTTTGGTTTTTTTAATGTGTAAATTATTTTGTTAAAAGTTCTCCAAAAATATGACATTTTTAAATTTCAATTTTTTTAATTAATTAACCATACAATTTTAATAGAAGCAAAAATCAAGAATCTTAGAATGAAGTCAATCTTAAGAACTGAGAATGCTTGACGACAGATTTAATATGTTTTCATAATTCTTAATATAGCTTCACTTGTCAATTCATGTATGCAGGCCACAAACCCTGTCTAGAATATATCCATTTTGCAGGCCAACCAATTTAATCACAACAATACTTGATTTTAAATACCCAAATGTATACACTGTGCGGCCCAAATGACGGGAATGGTAAACATTATTTAATATGTAGGATAATACATTAATACTATGTTAAATTATAATTTATACCCAACTAGAGTATAAGAATTGTAGGCAATTCGCAGTTGAGGCTAAAAAATATCACAAAATATGCAAAATTAAATGCTATAAGTTCATCTAAATATAAAACGTGTTTGTTTCGTACTCTACATTTTTGTTATTGAGTAAAATATGCAATCAAAATTCTACAAATCCTCTACCTAATTATTAGTTATTATTTTAATATTGTTGATTTTTTTAATTAAGAGGATGTCAACGTTCTGTTTGTTTTCCCACGTGCAACCAAGACTAAACGCGTTTTCGCAGAATTTTTTTTTTATGTTTTTGAGTAACCTTAGTGTAAAATTACCCATTAGAAACACGATAGCGAATAATATTTTTGTGGATATGACATAGATTTGTCTAAATATTGTCTCAAAACCATTTGAATTTACAACATTTTTATTTTATTTTGAAAGTTGAATACAAAGTTAAATAATAATAGCATATAAAACCGTCACACCGTCAAAAGTATTATCCTCTATAATTTTTGTAATAGGTTATTTCACTCTAAGTTCCTCAAAAATCATAAAAACGATTTTAGGGAAAAGAGTTTAATTTATGTTGCTCGTGTGTCTGAGAAAGAAAACAAATATTGCGCCGACATCCTGTTAACATATTGAATAATACTACAACTATTAAGCGTTTATCATAATATATTAATAATCAATGGTTATTACTTTATTAGTTACTAATCTTATTAGTTTATTACTCTGTACTCATAAAGTTGTACAATATCAAATATTATGAATAACAAAACATTTTAAAATTAGAAGTAGAACATAATATTTACTTATACATTATTTTTGTATTATTACAGGTCAATTCTGATTCAAATGATTTCAATTTATTATGGTCAAATAACCATGTTAATACAAAAATCATTAGTTCATTGAGGTCTTATCAACGTATCAATCACTTCCCTAGGTAATTATTAATTTAACTGGATATGCGTTAATAATTAAATTATATTTTATTATCAGTACGAAAACAAATTTGGATAAAATATAAAATAAAATGTAGAGAGAAAAAAAGAAATCTTTTCGTTTTTATAAGAATAGTACGGCTATTTCATGAATTTATGTTACACAATCAAATAATCAGACATTGGCTCACCTTCGTATAATACAATTTTCAATTGAAATTGAACCAGAACAAGTGCATAACTGCTTCCTTAAGTAATAACCAAGTGACCTTATGTCAACATTTAATTTTAAAACAAGTTAATATTTATATATATTTTTTTTTTATTAGGTTAAAGGGCTTCAACAATTTATATTTTGTTGAACCTATATGATCTATTACAATTATAGTATGTAGTTTTAGTTATTAGTGTTGACATAAAACAATTATTCGATCGTCATAATAAGGCAAAAATAATATGATTAGGTACATAGTCATAATGTCATAATATACAATCAAGTGAATATGTTTTACCTACTGAACAATTATTTTAATAGTAAACACTCGTTATCTCGACATATTGTAATACCCGTTTTTAAAAATATTTTTAATTTATTACTGAATTATATTTATTACTATTTTACTATCATTTTAGATTCTGAGCGGAGCGATAAATTATTAATTTTACAATGATAATTGTATAATGATTTCTTAGATATTTTAAAATTCAAAACTTCCTTTAATTGTTTCATAGTAATCATTATAGTTTAAAGTAAGTACAAAATACCAGTTTTCATTATTTTATTTTTAAAATCAGCCATCAGTCCAACAACTCCAACGGTTATTTTTTGATTTTCCGATATTATACAACCTTCAAAACTTGTATTACTTATATCAATTGTACATATTATTATGTAATAATATTATATGCACACTAGTATTTTATATTATAAATATCACTGATTACAATATTGTTTCCGTCTCGGTTTGGTCGGTCTATAGTTGCCCCGCTCGTTTTTAAAATGACTGCTTAGTGTATAGTGCATAGTGTGTAACAATAAAAAAATATTTAAACAAATATAATATTAATTAATTCATTGAATTATAATAAATGTCCAATGTCCATGAAATCCCATAAAACAAGATTTTACCATTAAGTAGCGTTAAAATAATATTCGTACTGTATAACAATAAAATGTGGTTTCTTATAATTTAAAAAATAAAAATTCTATTACTCGCTTCTCATGCTATGTACAATATTAAAATTTTAATTATAATTCAAAATGTTAAATGTTTTCTATTAGATCATGTGAATTGACTCGTAAAGATAAATTATACAAAAATATTGAAACTATGAGTCATCGCAATGGAATTAAAAAGTTCTCTTTTGTTCCTGAAACATACATCATGCCGAAAGATTACAATAGATTTATTTCGAACCAATATCGACATCGAGGTTTATGGATTGTAAAGCCTTTTGATTTATCTCGCGGAAGAGGAATAACAATAATTGATTATGTAATTTCTAAAAACCGTTTGCTGTTATTGTATCATTAGTTTTATTATTACACACCTAAATAATAATATTTTGATATTGTTTGCAGTCATTTAAGGACACTCAATCGGCGTTGAAGGAAAATGTCGTTGTTGCCAAGTATATTGACAATCCGCTGTTGGTGAATGGATATAAGTGGGATTTACGTTTATACGTATTAGTTACATCATTCAATCCACTTGTTGTATACCTGTACGAAGAAGGTTTAGTTAGATTTGCAACTGTTAAATATGTATGTGATAGAAGTCGAATTAATAATCGACGAATGCATCTTTGCAACTATAGCGTCAACAAAAGCAGTCCAAGCTATATTAGGTAGGTCACCTTCTATAATGCACGGTATTATATTTTTATCTTGAGCGTTATTACTCTTTTTAATTTTAAGGTCTAAACTAATTAATTTATGTTTTGCTTTTGTTGTTAAGAGGACGTCGTATTAGCATGTGCTCTGTCACACGCGGAAAGCCACGACTCGTGTACTCCGGCGACATCATAAATCATAATCGTGATGGTCGGGTATTATATTTTGATTTCACGATTATGTCGTTCCTACAACCCACGCCACTCGTATACTCGTTTAATTATTTCTTTGACTCGTACTACGTTTAACGACAACCACGAGTGACTTGGCAACTGGCAAGTAAAAATAATCGATATGTCCTACGATTAAATACCTCCCATATGACGATTGACGAATATTCGCTGAACGTCGGCTTAAACCTACACTGGAGGCGATTTAACGCTTCTACGATTCCAGCGTTTCCGCGATTTTTAATAAATACATCATGTTCTTCGAGGCGGTTTTGATTGGTTTGTTTGATAGAAAATTACCGAATTCTGACTGCAATTTTTACTTCAATCATAATCAATATTCAAATATTTAAACTTATTATTAATATTATCTTATAGTAATTTAAGTACTTAAATACATGTAACTTGTTTTAAAATAAATAGATAAATTAAAAAAAATTCCACTCGACTAGACTACAGTTTATATCTTCTCTATAAAAATTCGATTGTAACTTATAAGTTATAAGTAAATTTGTATTAATATTAACAATAAATAAACCGAACTATGAAATTTTAACACATGTGGGTACGACGTCTTTGTGTTTTTCTGAACAATAATTATAATTAGTCAAATTTAATAAGTTTAAAAATAAGACTACACATTTTAACATTTGTACATATTTTGTACATTATAATTTACAGTATTAATTTATTACATATTATTTTATACATTTTATGATTCAAGATGATTTTTTTGTAAGTAAACACTCATTTTCTGAAAACATTAATACTTTTGGACATAATTTGGAATAATGAGTAATCAGCATTTTTTAACAAAAAATTCAATTATTTACCATTTTTATCGTTTTAGTTTTCAATGTCATTATTTTTGACAATGAACATTTTTTTATTTAACTTTCCTGAGCAAAATATTTTTTATTATTGAAGTTCAAAATAATATTATACAATTATCTACAGTTAAACAACAATAATAAGTCGCTGTAGGTAATCCCTAGTATAACTACTATAACTATATAGTTGGTGGTACAAGCCACAAGGTACCGGCGGTGAAGCGTAGATAAACTGTAATAGCCAAATTAAAAAAAAAAAAGAAAACCCGTCCATTATAATTAAATAAATAATTAAATAGTTGTAAAGGGGTGTTGGTCTTTTATTTGTAACCTCTAATTTGTTTACGTCATAATAATAGATCAGAAAATGTTGGTCGACGGATGACAAACCATAATATACAAGTAAATTAAAAATGACCATCGATAAGCGCGAGACATGCTGGGGACTGAGATTATGATATAAAATATAAGATATGGTATAAAATAATAGTATAATATCACGTATTGTACATAACATAATAGCAACCAAGTGAACCGTTAAAATAATAACCGTGTATAATATTATTATTATTACGACGTATTCCGCCTGTTAAATTATATACAAATTACGGTATAAATGCAGCGTTTTCCGTTACCGCCTCACTGGTGTAATAGCACATTCCAATTTAAAAACGTGTAATAATTGAGTAATTTTAATTACTTCAGCGTTTTGATGGTAAAACGCGGTAGATCACATTAGTCGCATGTATCCACTCAAATATAAAAAACAATGAATTAACAGCGAATCTGTCGGAAAATGCTGTGAAATACATTTTGGTGCGTATTCCGAAACCGTATATGGGCCGATACCGCGGCGGTCGATCTAAGACTGCCCACAACAAAGCTATTTTCTCTGTCCATAAAAATTCTCCGAACGTTTCCAATTTCAAAATTATTTACAATATTGCACGAACTAGAAGAACTAAAATATAATCGTAGTATCAAAAGTGAAACGTAAAAACTAATGAAAATAAATTATCTTGCCACTTGACTTTTAAACTCAAACATGACCAGCCCATGAATAACATAAAATAACATTATGTTTCTCATTACCCATTACTACCACTACAAAATATCTTAGGGTAAATTTAGACAAAAAATTAACATAGGCCTACAATGCCTAAGTTTTTAGCTCAACCTTCACGGCCGTGTTGGGTAGTTGGCTGGCTCTCACACATACAAACACAACTATACACTGTGAATGCAATAAACTTCGCTATGAGAGTGTGCGACATGTATTGAAAATATGAATCATAATATTTTAAGACTGTACTGAGACTTTACAAACCTATTCCCTATGTGTATACTGTGTTTGATTGTTTTTTATTTTTGACTATAGGGCACACACACATTTTGTATTTTTGTTACTGATAATTGATATTGAATTTTGTTTTCGTTAATAATATTTTCGATATACCTAAATAGTAAATATACATCCACCACGTCCTAAATCTACTATGTATAGGTGACGGGTATCATGTAAGTCCGAATTCTGGAGCCAGCGTAAATAAAAATTTTATTTAGAAAAATAATATGAAGTTGCCCTAATCTAGCAAAAACTGAAATTACGCCATTGCACAGGCACGAGTAACAACTTATTAATTATAAATTATACAAAAATTTAATTAAATTACCACCTAGCTTATATAGGTTGAAATCGTAAATGAAATCGAATACTAAATTATTTCTCCACTAAAATACTAAAACACTTTTCAAAAAAATGAGAGTTTACCTTTAAAAGAACAACATTATAATATTTTATAATTATTTAAAAAATATATTATTGTTCATTACTAACTATTATGGTTTAGGAATTCGGATCCTGAACGAGAAAATGTAGGCCATAAATGGTCCATGAGTGCTCTTTTGAACCATCTCCGAGAAGAGTATCTCATTAATACTGAAACTTTGATGGCTGAAATCGAAGACATTGTAGTTAAGACAATAATGAGTGCAACTGCTCAAATGTTACCAGCAATCAATTGCTTTGTACCTCACAATCAAAATTGTTTTGGTAATTATTTTTTTTTATAGTTATTTACCTATTTACATAGTAGGTAATCGACTTATTTTTTATAATGCATTTTTATGCATGACCATTGATTATTCAATTTTATTATAGAATTATACGGGTTTGATATTTTGGTGGACGATAAGTTAAAACCATGGCTGCTTGAAGTTAACCTATCTCCATCATTAGGGATAGATTCTGGACTTGATTCTCGTATTAAGAGTTCAATGCTATGCGATTTATTTACTTTAATTGGTATCCCAATCGTTGACCCTACTGTCTTCAACTTTAACAGGTAGTATTTAAATACCTGGGTTTTTAATTATAGACATTTGCTATTATGTGATGGTTCAATGATTTTTGTAGAAATGTCCGAAGACCGAAATCTGATATTCCGAGAAACAGAAATTCAAATATTAATATTAATAACCTTAGTAGTGATGAAAAACGGTTATTGAAAAACACGATGGATCAAAATCAAAGGAGCAGAGGGTTCATACGGATTTTTCCTACATACCTATCATGGAAAAAATATTCCTCTTACTTAGGTATGAATGTTTTATTTTAATTTAAAATAAATGCCATCCCAATCAATTTAATGTTTTATTTGCAGATAATATCAATGGCATTCCTAGAGGATCCACTATACCACCATTTTATGTAAAACTAATAAGGAATTATAATTATTTTTTAAACGACCATTTATTCAGCGAAAACTCCTCATTTTATATGGATATAAGCAGACAGGATCGTTATGAAAGGTCTTTAAAAGATTATAAGCAGAGTTTAAATGGTTATAAGAATATACAATTAATTATATTACCCCTTACAAGAGAGAAAAAAAGTTAATTAAAATAACATTTGTATTTCAGATAATAAAGATGCAGATCAAACAACTGATATGTTAAAGTTAAAAAAAGCAATCGTAAAATATTTAAACGATGGATATGTATTCAGGTAAACAATTAAATAAAAACTATTGCTGTATAAATTGTACAGATTATATTTGGATACGCACATGTTATACTAATGAATTAACTATTAATTATTGTATGCTACTTACTAACCATAATATTTAATTGTATTTTATAATTATACAAATACAGAGTGATCATTTTACAATAATAGATTAGGTACATTATTTAGTCTATAAGTCTAGAGACCTATTATTTCCTATATACCTATTAATTTGTTTTATATTTACATATTAGTTCAATAGTACTACTGTTTGTTAACAATAATATAATATATAATAATGGTCATTTATCTTATCATATTTTTAAAAGCATCTTTCTTGATTTTTAAGTGTTTATATATAGCTGATCCCTTTTAAGTACATGTACTATAAATTATAAATTATAAATTATACATATAAATATATAAAACTATATAGTTTAAAGATTGTAAAAATTCAATTATTTTTAAAAAATGTTACCTACATTGTAATGATTCAAATTATGTGAATTTGAGAAAATTAATTAAAAGATTCACCCTGTATAAAATGTATTATTAATTAATTATTACTACACTTATTTATTTAAAGAAAAATAGTGTTAGGAAAATTATATTTGCTTTAGAAATGTTTTTTAGTGCAGTATACTATTTTTAACAGTATTTAAAAAACATACGTATTTTATTCTATTTTAAATTAAAATATATGTGTTAAATATTTTGAAACTATGAATAATATTAAGTAAAGCATTTACAGTAGATATACATTATATATTAAATTAATACAACATACTTAATAAATAGATGATCTAAATAAAAAAATAACTAATATTATATTATGATGCTTAAAAATGATCACTCTGGTTAAATATTTTTTTCTGAATATTTCCATGTAATAATACTAAATTTGTTAACCCATCTGTAATATTGTATATTTCAATTTCATATTAGTTATTACCCAGACGTTGTCAACCTTTCTTTGCTTACATTTCAGTAATCTACAGGCTCGGCAAACCTTTGCTCTATACTTGACTTACATTTCTGCTTTATTAAAAAAATGTGCTTTGGAGAAAAATTTTGACAATCCATCAAGTAATCTTGTTTTGATGTTTTTAATAAAAGCTTCAAAAAACCTCAGTGTTCCTTTAAAAATTGAGGTTAGTTATTTAGTATAATAATTAAAATGTCGTGTTGTATATGTTATTATAATGTGTTGTAAAGTTGTAAACTAGAGGAACTTAAAAAATATTGGTTCTTTTAAATAGTAGTTATTGTTGAATGATGAAAATTAGTGCTTAATATGTAGTACTTAAAAAATAATACTTTGTAGTAATTCAGATACCTATAATCTGAATATTTTATTTTTTAAACATAATTTAGCTTTAGGTATGTTAAACTATATATGAACATTTTAATTTATATTGTCATTACTCATTACACACAAACACACAATTAAAAAGATATAGTGTCTTTTATAATATTTGTATAATTTATAGATACCTACATGTAATTAATGCTTATCAAAATATTTGAAATATATTAAAGTAGAACAACATTGGAATTTTATAATAACATAATTATGTCTGTTAATCGTAAATGTATTATAGATTATAATGTATTAACTTATGGTAGGTATTCAAAATTATTTTAATAATCTAATATTATTTAAGCTTATAACCGTTGTTGATAGATCGTAACCCATAGTATTTGTTTTTTAATTAATTGATAATTTTTTATTCACTTCATTCTACAACATTTAAAGTGTTACTATTTTTATCTTCAAAGTTAATATATATTGGTAAATATGCAAAAATAGATGTCTTAAAACTAATGTCAAACGTCAATTCTGCCAAAACTAATGTTATTTTAATTATCCAACCGAAATAAAAACCTACATATATGTGTTAATTGTAAACAAAAAGTATAAACATGTATGAAAAATTGAATGCTTCTCTTTTTAATAAATATAATGCAGATTTGTATGTAATACACTAACAAGTAACAAGTATTAAAATATGACACATAAATATATACCAAACATGCAGTCAAAATGTGAAAATATGCAATAAATATGTAAGAAAAAAAAATTGGGTAATGTGGTAAAAAAGTGCACAATTTGTATTAGATATTTATTATTAATAGTTTATACATTTATAAAGTAGGTAGGAACCAAATAATTTAATACAAATCAAACAAATTATAATTAACAAACTTATCTTTATTTAAATTACTACTAAGTGCCTATAAAATTTATTTTTGAATTTTCTACTTGACAAAATATATTTTTCTTTTCTTTTTTTTTAAAATGTTCACTTTAATATGCAATGAATTTTGAACTTTATCAAAGTATGCAGTTATGTGCAAAAAAATTTTTCCATGTGTTTCAAACCATTATTATTCGTAAAAATACTAGTGAAAATCTAAAAAAGTCGGTACAATTGCATACAAATCCGCTCTCTAATTATAAGTTAGAAGTGTCTTATTACAATTACACATTACACTTGTCACCTACACTTAAACCAACCAACTTAATTGAAATAATAGCTATGGAATGTAAATCAATATACATTTGACTAGTTAAATTATTTTAAATGTGAATTAATATTACTATTATTTGAAAATAATTGTTTTAATCAGTCATAAGTAGTCGTTACTGGCATACTCTGCCATATTCGTTTATTTTAATAACTTGTTTGAGAATTTATGGATTAATGGGGGGTTTGGTGGCCACAAGGTTGGTTGAGTCCAATATTTTTAAGTAATTCTTATTCTTTTAAGTCACCCTTTTTTATTTTTCCAATTTGAGCACTGTATAGATTAAACATTTTTTACATTTTAAAAGAAAATGTGGTAAGTTTTTCTTTATAACTTAAATCAAACAATACGTAAAATGCATACAAATGCCTCTGAAAATTACGTAAATAGAATTTTTTATTTCTTATGTTTGTATGATTTTCCATCACTTATTCAACTTAATCCAATTAACCAATTTGTCATAAATTAGTATAAAATATTCATGAAAAATTATTCTGAATGGAAGCATATAAAATACAAATTACATAATACACACTTTTATATTTTATAGGTTTCTAAATCTTCGCTATCAAACAAAAAAGCAATGGAAATACTGCAATTATTGGAAAGCTTTTTATTGAAATACAACTATGATACTGTAATGTATTTAACCCCAGAAACTACAAAAAATTGTTTGCCACATAAGTTGTTTAATTTATTTCTCACGCATGCCAGGTAATTTTTAAATTTTTACAATCAAATAATTTATTTATTTGTGTATAAACAGTAAACACGTATTATTTGAAAGGCTACATGTTTATTTTTGTGAAGTTTATGAGAATTGTGCAAGTCTAACTATTTATACTATCAGTGGCATAGCCCGGGGAGGTTTGGGTGTTTGTACACTGTACACGATAAGTACGATAAGTAGTCGAATTAATACTTCGGTATTTAACAACAGTATATTTTGTGGTGGGAAAGTGAATCTAGTTGATGCTTTGTGGAGGTTAAAATTGAAAATATCCAGTAGTTTTTAAAAGCGCCGGAAAAAATATTGAGAACGGACATTTTTACGCAAAATCAATTTTCTTTTTCGGAGTAAGTAAAATGCTTATAACTAAAGGTACTTTAAATTTTCGCTAAATGTTTATATGACAATGGTCCATACATAATAAAATTTAAAAAATATTTTGATTAGATTTTTGAGCTATTTATATTTTTCAAGCGTAAAAAAATGTCTAACACAGTAGTTTTTTTTTTTTTATTTAATTATTATCGATGTGGAAATCAGAAAAAAGAATTGATCGTAAATCCATAATCATTTTTTATGAGTATCTAAAATTTATTAAAATCACGAAAATTAGCAAATTATTTTGAGTTAGAATTTCATAAAATGTGTTCTATTTATATCTGAGATTTGAAAATTGTTTACAAGATTTAAATTAATTTGATTTAATTACCTTAAACTAACAAAAACTGTTAAATTATTGCAAACCCAAATTAATATTTTATTAGCGTATGAAATTCAAATTTTTTCGACGTTGGAGGATAATTCACCCAAAAATTAATGAATTCTCATCGAATGATTTACTTATTTTGTTATTACTCTAAAATGAATAACCTTAGTTATCTAAGATACGATAGTCACAAAATGTTTATTTTATTATTTTCTGTACGTGATTTAAAATTCTAAATATTTTGACTCTTTTTTATCTTTATACTACGCACCATTGTACGGCTCATCGGTAATGAATAATAACTTAAAAGTTACATGGGTTATTTCTTCAAAAATTAAGGCACCTAATCTACCGAAAATACTTGAGTGTATAATATGTTATATTATGTTTTATGCATTGATAATGGATATTATTTTAATGCTTAAATTAAGACGAGGCAAGTAAGTTGTAATGCACTAAAAATTATTACGCTGGGTATCATTTCCATTTGTCATTTCACTTATCTAATTTTATGTATTATGTATATTAATTATATAATTTACTTCCATCAATAGTGTATCTAGGATATTTACTTATATAATATATTTTATATGCTTATTTTATAGGAAAGAAGATATCGAAGAAATAATTAATGACTCGAAACACAATTGTTTGTCGTCTGCAATACACCCGGTGAATGATATTAAAAATTCTAAAGTAATAGAATCAAAAGTTTGGAAATAATATCTACAATGCTGTCGACGCGTTGACATTTATAAGAACTTTTTTTTATTAATGTCATAGAACTACTATTGAGTGTGGCCTATTAGGTATTCATACTCGTATAGTTGATTACATCTGTCTCCTTATATTTGCTTTTAACTATTAGTGCGTAATTACTAATTAATAATTAGTCTTAGATGTAGTAAATATAGTACATCTCTAGATGAACTTGTCATTATTTTTTATTGTTAGCATAGATCATATAAAATGTAAGCACTACCTATGCGTTTTGGTAGGACCGAGTAAAACGAATTAAAAGCAAATTACATTGGTTTTAATCGTGTTTGTCATATTATGTCACAGTGTCACACTAGTGGTTACACAGCGGGGTGATGGGGGGGGGGGATGGGGCGATTCGAACGCACGGATACCACTTTAAAATCGCTGTCGCGCTATGATTACACACCAGCGTTTTAATCACATCTTCACCAATTTCTCATACGTCTGTATAGATCATTGTTAACGTTTAGTGTGATTGTGCAAATGTATCGCGTGAATTGGAAATACATGGTATAATTTTAGCTTCTGAACGCACTAAACATAAACAGCCCACGATTTGTTGCGTACGATTGCGACGTTTATTCCCGGTTTTAATGACAAAATCCAGTTACCGACGTGTAGTATTTTGGGCGATTTAAAAATATCGATAGCGTGTGTACTATGGAGCCACGAACAGGTCAATTCCTGCCGCTGATCGATCGCAACACGATATTATGATCGGTCGGGAGCGCGGGACATCCGTTTTACTCGAACCTACCAAAACGCACTCAAGTCTCTATTAATAAGTGTAATATTCATTAAATTATTTGTGAAATATTATAATTTATAATCGATGTTGTTAAATATTAGCTATATTCGTATTTTATTAAGAAGACTGTACAAATTAAAAAGGCCAATTTCAAAATAATATTGTGATGAAAATATATTCTAATAATATCTTTAAGAACCATTGGTCATTAACTGTTAAAAGCTATTGCTTGTTTCAAACCCAAAAATCAAACAAATAATTTATAAATATGTTTTCTTCCATTCAGTTTACAATAGCTATGGTGACCAGACGCACTTTTTTATTGCGTTGTTCTAGAGTCCTCAACACAACAATAGTGTTGAGTAATTTATATTTTATGATTCAACCTTATCTAATGCACTTATGCATATTACTACATTATTAATAATATAATATGAGTATTAGTACTTAGTACAGATCGTACAGTATTTAGTAGTACACTAGTACGAGTAGTACCACATAATATTTTTCCTCTATGATGAATGAATCACTACAGTAGTTGTACATTTTATAATACGTGAACATAATATATTACATACCTAATATTTGTAGGAGGGATGAGATGTTTTTTAGATTTTCATATCTGGTCACCATAACTAGAGTAAACTTATACTGATATTGAGATATATTTATCAATTTAATTTAAGACATTGTGTATTTTGTGTACTGTGTAGTCTTAAGTCTATAATATAATCTACATTTTACAGGCATATTAATATGTTATAATTTTTTAAAATTTTAATGTATAAGTTATTCACTAATACACCACGAGTAAAACTAAAACTGAATGTTCATGATGTAGGTTCATTGTAAATAAACATAACATAACATTCCTAGCAAAACTATAATATAATATTATTATAAAGTTATGCCTAATAATTTTCAAATTATGAGATGCCAACATTTTCAATGTTCCTAAAATACAAAATAATTTGATTTGTATTTGCTAATATTACACCAAGTCACCAAACATATTTGCCAAAGAATTTAATCTAATAAATTATATTTCATAATTATAACATTTTATTTTTATGATAATATTTAATATATAATAAATGTAGGTATTTTATAAAATATAAATTATAATCTAGTAATAATACTAGCTTCAGTACTCAGTACTAAGTAAATTAACAACTTAATTTAAATTTGGTACATATTTTATATCTGTTACTAGTATTACTATATTATTTTGATATGATGACGCGGAGTTTAATTTACCCATATTTAATAAAAATTGGCCATTTTATAAAAAAAACCGTTTATAATAATAGAAATCACAATATATATTTACTAAAATATGTATTAAATGAAATTCGTTCATTAATTTTAGGAATCGTTCAAATATTTTTGATAGATAATTAAAACTATTTTTACCTAGATTGAGGTTTTCTGTGCAATTACTGTTTAACTGAATGCATTTACTGAAAGGTATTTATACCTTATAATGTACTAATGTCTAATATATATTTTTATTTATTTTAGTTTGTGTATAATATTGTGTGTTTATTCATAATTCATATAATTCAATTTTTAATAAAATTATAAAGTAAAATTTTTTTTATACACAACACATGTACTTATTACTGAGAATATTGAAAACTAATTAGCAGTAAGCATTGTGATATAATTAATTATATAAATGTACCTAGTTTAACCTTAACGTCCTTAATATAATATTAATAATGTTTGTTTAAATTTATAATTCCGACCACAAAAATATATTTTATTGAAAATAGTTAGTAATATGTATAACGTTTAATTTTTTATTTACTATTCAGGCAAGTTAATTGCAATCATAATCTCTGCTTAATTATTTATTTCGTATGCAGCATAAAATATTTTTTTCATTTCAAATGTTGCTCAAATAATGACCAATTAATATACATATTTTATTTTAATAATTAATAGGTAGGTATTGTAATTCACGTCGACTATTAAATTATCTTAAATTATTATTATTAAAAAAATGATAATTCAATTAAATAGGCATAGTTATAAGGATAACTCATAATCATAAATATTATGATGAATAATGATAATCAAAAACCCTCAATAATATATTGTATTTTCATTGTAATAGGTATTTATGAATACCATATGTATTTATGTCATATATTTGTGTTTAAATAATATTCTTCTAGTCTAATTTCTGTGATTCTAAATACATTAACATTTTTCGCACATTCTTAATTTTTCATATTTAATGCGTAACCATATCTACACAAATTGACACATTTAAAAGATTTGTAATTTGTAATTAGAAATTATGAAGTATAGTTTAAAATGTCTTACGAGAAATATCACCGTGACTTTATTGTATGCCCATAACGCCTAGTCAACAATATTCACAAATTAATTAAAACATGTTAATACCAGCTATTGTTTGAATGTTTCACTTTTCGAGTCTAGTAAATCAATTATATTATAATTTTTAATTTTATACAAATGGTGTTATATATACATAATTAAACTACACTAGGTAAATCACTACATAGTATGTCACATTTTCATTCATGCATTTTAGAACGTATGCAACGTTATTTATCATTATACTATTATAGTATTATTATATTTATTTATGTTATACACTCTAGAATTCTAAATATTTTATTATTTGTATTATATTACTCATTAAGCAATAAAGTTTTTTTTTAATTAATACTAGTTTCAGAATACTTTTTAAATGTTATTTATAAATTATCAAAATTTATGTATTATGATTTAACCATGTAATGGTTTTATGTTTTTAATATTGGTGCCTGATGATTGTTCATAATTGTTAGTAAAGATAAAATTACTAAATTATAGTGTAAAAAACGTCCTTTATTTTTAAATTTAAAGTGTAGGGTATTTTTGGTATTTAAAATAATCTAATTAGGTTAAAATTAAGAAATTAGTGATAATTTTTATTTCATTATTATTGTGTATCGCTTTTATTTATACCTATTATACATAATTTGTTTAAAATCATCACGTAGTACCTATTTTGTTTATTTAAATTTTGTGCAATATTTTTTTTTAAACACATTATTAAGTCAAATATATTATGTTTCAATTTTATTGTGTTGTTGATTTTTATTGCCTATTTGTTTTTTAAAATTAAAATACTCAACTGTGTAACAAATTACTGCTAAGGTATATTGCTTGTGACTGCAATATTACCACCGTATAACGTAACTATGAATTATATTATAATCGATTACAACTATTTTATGTAGGTAACTCTAGTCATTACATTATTATTATCACTATAACTATTTATTTATTTTTACGTTAATAGTGAACAAATTACAAAATAATAAAAAATTAAAAAAATTAATAAAATATGAAAAATACTAAATTTATTATCAATTATATTAACCGCAGTAATTGTCATATCTTGTGCAGATTTCGTTATCAACAGTTAAAAACTTATGAACGAAAATGAATAAGTTCATACCTATAGTAAATTCTCGTAAATTATTGTTGTTAATATGAATACCACATATTTTGAAATTAGTTGATAATTCCAAGGACATTTATTTAAAAATTTAATTTTTATTCAAAATCCCCTAAAAATAAATCCATTTATTTTGCTCCAATGGGAATATAATACGATTATGAAAATAAATAATAATTATACACTTATTTCATATCTGAAGCTATTTTGAGTTGTTATTTGTTTTCTTGTTAACGACGGCTGGCTGGTAGTTTATTCACAATAATATTATTTTTATCGTTTATTCGCCGTATCGTTGTATGTTATAGCTACATATAAATCGTATTCCATGTTGTAGTAGTAGTGTACAAGCGCAATATGAAACTATTATTAATATCTACGAAAAATAATGTTATTGTCCGACCACGATCGGCCGTATTATCGAAAACAAAAATACCGACAAATATTTACTGATATTATTACTTATTTATAATTTATCATATTATTATGCGTGACTGTTTCAGTTACATAGTTCGTGTAATCGTATCTCTCGTAAACTTGTTTTTAGTTTTTTTCGATTCATTTTGATTAAATTTTTATTGCCAAGATAAACACTGAACATATTATAAACAACGTTCCTCGCTGGTCTTTCCTACAATAACTAAAAAACTATTGAAAATACATTGACAAGTTTAAAATACAAACATTTCAAATTCAAATTTTAACGAAATGCATTTAATCACTTAATGTCTTAATCACGAACATTTTTAAATAATTAAAACTTTATTTTAATATAATAGTTTGTACTTGAAAATTCAAAAAATTACAATACTATCTGCAAAAAAAAATTAATATTTTTTTCTATACACAGACAAATTATTAAAACATTTAGTCGAATTTTAAGTCATGTGTTAATTCGTTACATTGTATACCACAAATTGTGTGAATCGTTTTACGTCGCCACGGACGTATTGACTTAAAAGATACATGATAATACCTTAGTTACCAATAGTATACTGTATACAATATTACAATATTAATTTAATGGTACTCTGATACACAATCCACCAAAATTTGACTATTGTACCTCGGTTTATTTTATGTAAGACCTTAGACTTCAGTGAGAATAACACAAATATATGAAAATACTAAGGGCCCAGCCGATTGCGTATAATCGAACCACGACACATAATAATATTTTATATATTTCCAGTTAGTCTAATCATATTTCGAATTATTTTTATCAAAAAGATGTAATCCTACCAACACTGTAGTAAAGCCTATCCTTTGGAATGGTTTGCATATTCCAATACTATAATAAAGAAAAAATAAATTCAAAAGTAATAATTGACACAACTTAGAAAACATTTTTAACTGTAATAAATTGTATACGAAACGTGATAAACAAAACAAAATCAAATTAAACACAGACGAATAATAATCAAATAACGTGATGTAAATATAATAATATGTTATATGAATTAAATAGATTATCGAATTTGACGGTCTTCAAATGGTCATGGGCGGATAGGTAATTTTTTTACCGTGAGATATTTGGCCACGTTCAACTAGGTCCTCTGTGTACAAAACCAGTGTGTGTGTTACCAGTACGCGCGCGGGAAGTTAAACTTCTTTTGAACGGTACACGTGAGTGAGTGAAAAAGAAAGAAAGGCATGGATAGACTGGAGTAATGAAGATAATAAAGAAAAGAAACAATGTAAATTATAATTTTTATATTTTTTTTTATTATTTTTTATGCTAATTATTGATTATCATTTTGCTCAATCTGTATAGTAGTTATGATTGGCATATGATGACTGAAATACGAAACGTACATTTGCGACTGAACATTATCCATATATCGCGTAAAAAATGCATCGATTGTTGTGCCAGATTAAGTAGTCGATATTGTTGAATCATTATGCAGTTCACAGTTGCAAACTGAATTTGTCTCGCAATAAAGTTACGAGAGGTGCTAACCGACCAACATTATAATTTTTAATACGTAATAACTAATACTATGTACATGACGAACTGATACGCTTTGCACTGCCGCCCCGACGACCGTATGAATGATCCCGGACGATCATTCCGTTTTTATCTAAATATTTATCTCATTAATATTATTGTTGAGTATTCTTTGTTTAATATCCCAACCAAAAACCCATAGCCGTTTACAATATACAGCTACGACAATCCGCGGCTGCGCACAACGCATGTCCGTGTTCGCTTTTTTTTCCTCACTGCCCTGCGTAAAGAAGTTTAACTTCAAAAACCCACATTTTTTAAGTCACATCTTAATTACACGATTACAGCCGGGATTTTGATGCACTTTGCATTGTTTTCCAAAGCCAGCTACGCTATGCTTGTTTTATAATATACAAGTTTCATATTGTGTTATTGAATCAGAATGAGAATAGTTTTTTGACAATTTTTAATCTTAAAGGAATTCCACACTACCGTTTTTTTACCTATTAGCCATAATTGCTCATAATGAATCAGTGCTAGTGTCGGTGTGTCAGAGAAAATTTTGATTCTCCAATAATTATAACATGGCAAACAAAAACGTTCAAATACTTTTAATTGTTTGTGTAATCTATGGGTAAATCTACTTTTGTCACTAAATTTACCATAATAATTTAATATGTATGTGTGTATGTGTGACGCGTGTCATCAGTATACGTATAATATGAATATTAATGGCATATTAATAGCACATACGTTCTGAGCTATTTTCGGGATTAGCGATAACGACGGACGACGCGGTAGCAAAACGGATAGAACGGTCGATCGACGACAGTCTCTATTCCAATATTTTAAATGGTTAATAAAAGTACGGAAGGAGGGGCGCGGCTATAATGGTTATCGTATGGAGTTCGTCAGACTTGTCTCCCCTTTGAAAATTGTGTTTACCGCCACTGACTGTAGTGTGATGGACTTGTTTTTTTTGACCGACCAGTAAACAGTGATAAAACTGACGTGCGTTTTCCCCACAACGTCTAGCCCGCGGTCTTAGAATAGTCTAGCCTCACTACGGCCGGTCCGGGCATAGGTCTGACGCGGCCTCGCTGTTTGACGGTCACGTGCCTACGCGCGTACTTCGACTTCCATTATCTAAGTCGACGGCTACGACACGCATGCGCGACCGTGAATTCTATTCTGACCATGCTGTTCCAAACCCGGCGAAGTACACACTGTTTCGTTTTTCGCCGCGTTCACACGGGACACGGCGTAAGACGAATATACTGTGTGGTTATTTCCAAACTTATTTTATAATTTATTAATATTTCAGTGACCGGTATCGCTCACGGTTACTGATACGTTTCTTTGACGGTGAATGCATGTCCACCGGAAACGTAGTAGTGCTTTTGAAGTAGTGGGGGGGGGGGGGTTAATAATCAAATCATATATATTCGTAATTTAAAAAAAAATGTTTTTATTAATGGCTTTGGAACTAATACTCCTGGTTTTTGATGTGTACCTTTACGGTGTAAAATTTTGACAAGATATAGTACAATAATTACATACCTATCGCTCCAGAATGTGGCATATTAATGTAACATACCAAAGGGAACCGTTTAATTAAATTTTATTTTTATTTCAGATTATGAGCGGAGCCATGAATTTATTGATTTTACAATGAATATGTGTTTCTATATTTATTTATTTTTTGTGTGTGTCTGTCATCACGGTTTCTTGCAGAAAAAGTGCTTAGGTTTTCTTCAACAGCAACTTTTCTGGTAAGAAAGTGAGCAAATTATATTTAGTTAGAAATTCATAAATTTTTTTCTACATGTATGTAAGATTTAGACCGTAATATCAAATTCAATTTTTATGAGCGTTTGAAGTTGAAATTTTTATAAAATAGGATATTCCCTCCATTTCTCATATAGCGATTTTCTTATTTTATTGTAATTGATAAACGAATTACTGTACACTTGAAATTTACACCAAATTTTTATTTCATCAATTATATGAATTGATAAAATTTTCATAATATTTTGACTCATTTTAAGCAGTTGACGGACATTTTCAATTTTTATTTTTTTTCATTTTTTTTTTCTATAAATATCAATCAAATTTTATTGGTTGGGTCAAAAAGCATGCAAAATTTAATACAAGACTTCATAACTTGTTACAATAGTAGTTGACAAATATTAAAAATACATAGGCACGATTTTTTTTTATAAGCATTTAAAGTTCAAAATTTGAC